AATAATTGAGGTGTATTTTGAAGGAAAATAAATTGTTTTCTTTACCGACAGGCATGATTCATATTTCTAAAAAAAAAAAGGGCCGTTCTTTCGTGAAAATCTGTACACTTTGGTTTTTTTCAAAGGCAGGTTGGCCCCCTGAACAGACTCTTAAAAGTTGAAGGCACATGGAATTTGTTGCTTCTTACATTTTTTTTTTTTTCGAAAGGCAAAAAATTTAATTGAATGAGTATAAGGGTTGTTGTTTCTTACATAATTCCAATTTGTCATCCTGCACGACCTGTTCTGTTTCAGACTTGGTCATTTGGAGACCAGAGAAAACTTCACGATTGTCAATGATTAGCTTAGAATTATGTAATCGTGTCAGGTCTTGAATCATTCTTTTTAAATTTATTATTGGTTTAAAGCCAATTTTCGTCCCTCTACTTTAATATTTTATTCGTTCTTGTCCCTCTACTAAGGACATGTTCGTTGTCGTCCCTCTACTCTACCAAAGAGCTAAAACGTCGTCCCTCTACTTTGCTTTTTTTGTTCGTTGTCGTCCCTCACCTAACACCGTTCATATTGCCATCACTGCTGACCGTTAAGTCCCAAACGGTCAGCAGTTAAACCCATTTGTTCTATTTATTTTTCCACATATGCTGCCACATGTGATGCCACCTGTGCAAGAATAATAGGGACCACTTTGCCCAGTTGCTTTCAATTTTTTTTTCGTTGCCGGGATGCGGGATGCCAACAAAAAAACCACACACCCATTTCCAATCCTACTCCCTCCGGCTCCGGCGGCCTGAAAACGCTACACACTTAGTCGACGGGCGCCTTTTGTAGGGGCCTTGCTTGCCCTTTATTCTTAAAAGAGAGTTTAACTAGGGTCCCAAGAGCTATGTTGATTCCCCTCCAAGGTCTGGAGATGACAAGCCTAGCAGCTTCTTCTCTTGTTTTTGGTGGGGGTGTGGCATCTTTCCATGCCTCTAACAGCTTTCTGTACCTTTATTTGTTGTCAAAATTATTTATACACCGCACAAAGTGACAAAACCCAAAAATTTGTGCATATCAAACTTTTTTTTTTTTTACTCATCACAAATGGAAATCAGGAAATAGTTTAATAAATATAGATACCATTCAGCCTGAACCCTCTTGGATGCCACAACTTTCTTACTGAGCCCTTCAGGAACCTAAACAATTGATGGTAGTTTAATTAATAATTCACTTAGCTAGATTTCCTCGTTTAGCTCACTGCAAGCAAATTAATAGGAATCATGCGAAAAAACCCAGGATTGGAAGTTGGATCTTAGCAGAAAATACCTGAGAGGTGGTTTCAAAGTGAGAGAGATCAATGACAAGAGCTGGAACTTCCACGGCGGGGACGGAGACGACATCCTCAGTGGTGGGATCGAAGAAGCAACGCCCATATACGAGCTTAAGAACTTTTACCACAACATTTCCTATTCTGTACATATTGCTCTGAGTACTGAGACAGAGAAGAGAAAAGAACAGCGTTGCAGAAGCGATGACCGATGACTCTTTTTATTTAGTCTTTAGTATACTCTATTTCATGCACATTCACTTCTTTTTTTAA